TAAGTTACAGTAAGTTTACTCCTATCACTTGAAAATTTTCTTTTACCGTTACTTCTTCTTTTCGCCTTATTCATTAAAAAATGGGTAATCGTCAAAGCAATGCTTCTGGAGCACACTATTTAGATATACTTTCAGAGTTTTCAGAAGAGGAAAAAACTACACTTTTAAAAGTTTTTGCCGAATTTTCTTCTGGTAATTCTTACATACAAACGGCTAAAACAGAAGTGATGGCAACAAGTATTAAAGTAGGAAACTGAAAGATACATTATAACATTTTTTTTTTTATGTTCAACTTTCAAAATTACGAGTAATACTTTATATGTTTATTAGAATTGTTTTCCAACAACGATTGGTGAATCACTCAAAAATGGATTTGTTACATATCTTCAATCAATGTCATCATTTCATTCATCGACATCTATTGTGATAACTGAACCTGGTTTTATATCATCAATTCATAAATTGGTGAAAACTATGCCAATTGATAGATCCCAGGCAATACATCTTATAGGACAGTTATCACAAGGTACACTTAAAGATTTTGTAAGAGAGGTCGTTCGAGCAGCACTACCATATTGGTTCGAAGGATGTTATCCACCCAAGCAGAAACAATCAACAAAAGAAAGCAATAAATTATTTAAAGAAGATATGTATCTGATTGATTTAATAATATTGAGACCAAAAATTAAATCTAAAGAAAAAGAAGATGACGAACTTTTAACCAAAATTATTAAAGAAGCTGAGATAGAAGGGTATTTTGATCAGGGTCGATTTATGGATTGGTACACTAATAATTTACTATTTCAACATTTATTCAACATACTCGTAAATCGATTATTTTTATGCCAGACAATTCCATATCATTCAGAGGAAGAAATGAATAAATTACGATTTTCTAATCAAATCTCACCGGCAATTCATTCACGATATAAATTGATGGAATTCTCAAAATTATTATCACCGGCAGATTATTTTATTTTAAATGATAATCTACCATCAGATTGTAGAAACACGCAACATACACTGTTATTTTCATCAGCACTTGATGGAGGAAGTTGGAATGCATTTGTTAATTCGTCAATGTATCAAGGTTCTACATATATCATAATTAATGATAGAGATGGATATATATTCGGTGGATTTGCTTATGAAGATTGGAAGCAAAACTCCAAGTTTAGCGGTGATAAGAAAAACTTTTTATTTTCTATTAGACCTAAATTAAGATGTTACCCTACTACAGGTTATAATAATAATTTTCAATATTTGAATTTTGGAGCAAAAACTTTACCAAATGGTTAGTGTGATTTATTATTTGAAATCATAATAATAAGTCAAATTATTATACTAATGTGATTCTTGATCAAAACTCAGGATTGGCTATGGGTGGACAGTTTGATTATTGTATGTTATGTTAAAAAGCGATATTTGTTATCATAGTATCTCTATTGATGTTGCTGAAATTTTTTGTATTTAAAAACAGGTGGTTTATGGATTGATTCTGATTTTATTCACGGACATTCAAAAGCTGCACCACTTTCATCAACATATGGGAACCCACGATTATCTAAACAGGAATATTTTTTGATAGATGAAGTTGAAGGTAGGATTGATTTAATAATTTTCTTTCAATATTTTTGTTCTTTATCATCGTTAATATATCTAACAAGATTTTCATAAAAATAGTATGGTCAGTAAGACCAACAAAAATTGATTTGGATGAAATTCCAAAAGGTTTAAAACGTTCAGTGCTCGATAATCATCCTGAAGAGTTAGACCTTTTAGAAATGGCTACAGGTCGTAAAATGTACTCAAAAGATGTTAGGGAACCGGATGAATTCCCTGAAGAAGAATAATCCTTTTTAAAAAAGATATTTATTATGTCGCATGTAATAATTTTCATTTCTAATAAATTTGAGTAATATAAAGTAACATTGTTTTCAAATTGCAAATAAGTTTCAAGAATTAGAGAATTAGATTATACTTTTATTCTCAATCACAGCAATTAAAAGATTTATTCGTTAAATAAGTTATAATACTACTATAGCATTTGTATTTAATATACATTATGTAATAACCGAATTGCTAAAGTTCCTCTACTTGGTTGATTAATTATACTAAATTACGATTTTAATAAACGTATATAACTTTTATTTCCTTTTTTCTTCGTCCGTTATACGTAATTAGGAATGTCAAAAGTTACGGTTATAACCATACAGATATCGTTCGGTTAGAGATCTTTGACTAGTTAGGATATAACCGATTATTAAAATTAAATAGTTCATTTATTGACACATTTTCAATCAGTATAGTGCTTTGATCAATTGGGCCCAGTAAATGGCATATCCCAATCGAAATTGGACATATGTCTAATTGGTCCAAATGCCGGTTCCAAATATGTAGTCCAAAGCACAACACTGTTCTCTATCATATAAAAAAAAGAGTTGACATTACTTAATGAAGAATAATTGAATTCGAAGTAACGAAAAGCATTCGCATTACACGACAAACTTTGTATTTATTTGAACTATGCTGGCAATTAATTTAGGCTGGAGGTTATTTTATTGAAAATTAGCAGAAATATGATATAGAAGTGAGTAACTGACTGAGTTGGTCAGGACGGCAATGACGTCCAGCGAAAGAGCAATCGTAATTGTGCTGGGAATCGTCATAGGATTATTGTAGCCATAGCGGGCCGGTTGTAAATGAAGAAATGAGTGCGTGAGAGTGAAAACCTGGAAACCGATCATACTGTAGTAAATCATTAAATAGGTTTCCACGCACTCAAATGTAAGCGAAGAAATGTAAGTGAAGGAATGATAAAATCACGCGTTTTCAATTTGAAGCGGCTGGTGGCGAATTTTCTGTTCAAGCACTTGCAGAAATGGCTTCATCGCATCTAATTCTTGCCATTTTCATTATTCCATTAATTGCATTACTTGGTCCTTTATTCCATGCATATCGATACGTATACCATTGTCATATGTTAACTTTATTGTCTTTGACCTTCTTACGCCATGATTCTCACATACTTTGGTCTTACCTGCGATGATTTTATGGGGTGGGGGATCGTATAGCTACCCTTCTTTTTGATTTTTCACTTCACAGTCTGCCGAACATGAAGATTCGTTTAACCCAAACTGGATTTATTTTATCATCGATTCATTGATTCTAATTCCAATGAACCTAATTTGTTTATTTAAATTGTATTTAAATTTACTCAACTCAGGTTCTCTTAGATGTATTTATACTATACATGTGGACGAAGGGGTCTAAAATCCGAAATTAAAATTTGAAGACGAAATTGTTTTGACTTGATTTTACTTAAAAAACGGTACTTTTTTTGAATAGACGAAACTATAAACATAATTATATAAATTTTATTTGCTTATTCATATAAAAAATTTTAAATTACTCTAATGGAGACGAAATTTTCAAAAATTAATTTTCGTGGAATCTATAATTTATACAAATTATCAATATTAGATAAATACTAATCTTATACCTATTATATAATAATCTGATTAGTCATAATATGATTTTGAATATTAACTTTGAATTATAATCTAGCAAAAGATCGGTCGGTCATTATCCATGTTAATGACAACCACCTAGTATCACCACCAAAATCATGTACGTAATCGCTTCTTAAATTTCAATTTGAGTTTAACATAGGAATAACAGAATTACAAGGTTTACAGAATACAAAATTTTCGAAAAAATAATCGAAGTTTTATTTATACAAATTATTTTTCAAAGTATTTATTCAAATTATTTATTCGAATTATTTATTCAAATTATTTTATCTAAATTGCTCATTCAAGAATTTATTTAATTTATAGCTATTGTATTATTCATATTTTCTTAAATACGCGTATAAAGCTTTAAGCTATTAGTAAAAGATGTTCTTATTACGTCCACTTCAAGTTTTCGGAAGCTTTTTTGCTCGCTCGAAATATTTAATATCGTCTACTGTTTTTTGAATAAATGGAAGTTTGATTCAATACTTCGAAGCCATTTATATTGTTTTGGAAGATTATTCGACTGTTCAAGAACAATTGAGTGCCTAAAACATAATATAGTAATACAATATACACCAGTGAGAATTACAAGAGATACAAATAAATACTTGTTATTTAATGGATATCGGTGAATACGGTGTATTCCACTGAATAATAGTAAAATTACGTGGCCGAAGGCC